GTTGAAATTGTATTTATACTGAAGTTTGTTACAACAGAGAAGTTACAGATACAGTAGGAAACTTTACAGATAATTATAGTTAGTGGTGATAAGGTACAAAGAAAAGATAGAGATGGAATGGGAGAGTTCGAGTGGGACTCTACTGGTAGGCTGGTTTGTGCTTGCCTACGTGGGCTCATTGTGTAGTTGTCTAACATAGAGAAGACTAGGATGAGTGGTTAGGTGAAACTAGTTTGAAATGCTTACAGTCTGGTTTACAGAAGCTAGAAGATGCCCCAAATGGCAAGATGACCCTGACGAAAGATGAGGAGAATGGGTAAGGTTAAGAGTGGTGCACGTGCATCATTATGCCTCATAAATCAAATAAGGTTTCATAATATACAAAACTACAATTTAGATGCCTGTCAAATTTGTTGAAAACACCTGTAACAAAACTATTACTCTTGGTAATAGCTGTGCTCGTTTACCCAAAAACATTTCAGACAGTTTCTACATGATATTGGCTGGGTTCTGTGGTTTGTGATCATTTATATTTGGGTCCTTTTCCATGGCAAGTAAATATCCTACTAGTACAACACCTAGAGCTGATTGACATGCTCAACAAATCAAATCATTACTTTCAACACTACAGAAAAAATTACTTTTAACTGCTGCTAAAGGCCACCAAAGCTGCTGCTAGAAACTTTACCGGCAGTCATTAAAAATGTGTCACTAGAAGTTCTAGCAGCAGTTTTCTCGGCTGCTGGTATAAACAAAAAACTACCGCTACAAATACTTTTAGCGGCAGTTGTGGCTGCCATTAAAAGTTGAACCAACTACCGCTATAAACACTTAGCAGCAGTCATAAAGTTGAACCGATTGCCACTACAAATACTTTCAACAGCAGCTACGACTGTCGCTAAAAGTTGAGCTGACTGCCGCTATAAGTTCGGCACATGATCTTTTAGCGGCAGTTAAGGGCATCTTTAGCAGCAGCGGCTGCCACTAAAGATGAGTAAACCTTGATGTTCTCATTCAGATCCATCTATGAGATGGAACCACATTCATTAAAAATAGGAGAAACTAGAGTTTGGGTAATTTAAACCTTTATTTTGATACAAAATGAAACCATTTATTAGAAAGTAGAAACAAATCAAAAACATTATATATATTTGGATGATACAAATACAAATAATGATTATTCTTTGGCTTCAAAGTTCTCTTTCCTTGTAAGGATATTGATTGTATCAGTATGCATATACAACAATTTGTACATCACACATCAAAAACATAATCAAAGATGGTAGAGTTTCAATCTAGACAAAAATTGGCAATTGTCAGCCCTTTGAACTCCAATATGGGCAACCATAAGAAAAGAATCTTTTCAACATTCTTAATCACCATAGTGTGCATGCTAATTCCATCATCAAAGGTGGGTCTGTTTCACTTCATTAACCAGTTATGATTAAAAAGAATATCAGAAATCCATCACAAGACCTCAAGGAAACATTTAGCCCTTTCTTTCTGCATTTCCTGCACAAATAGGAAAAAATTAAATTTCAAAAGTTAATAAGATATAAAACTACCCATGAAATGCGGTCAGCAAGGATCTAGACATGCTATGCAGTTTATATATGATGAATGGTTCTAATAGTATTAGGCAAGTGTACTGATTTTGCATAAATATTTATGAAGCTGAACTCAAGATGTGATGCCATGTCTCCATGGGTAGATCATACTACATGAACCAACAAAATCTGTAATATTAAATATAAAGTGCATGGCAAAAAGGTTTTCTAATTGGGTAGGGACTAGGGAGCTTCCCTTCGCAACTTACTCCAACTCTTCAACTGACCACATGTTTAATCCTCCATTCCAAATCAACTTATACCCCAACTTGAAATGGTGTTTTTCCCTCTATTTATGGGGCAAATTTCAACCCAAAATCCATGGCTACAGACTACATGTCCAAAATAAGCATTTTTAATAGTCAATTTTTGTAATAAAAAAATAAAACTTTGAATGGTTAATATTAGTTGGGAAATGCAGGAGCATATATATGTGCTCATCAATTTTTGTAATAAAAAAATAATAACAAGCTAAATGCAGTCCAGAGAACAGACCTGGAGGCTCATGTAAATGCCGGAGCATATATAT